CTTTTGGGAGAGCAAACATAAGACTCTCGTCCGGGGTGAGCAAACAAAAAACTCCCCGTCAAGTAAAAAAAAAAAATTCTCTGGGTCGAGCAAACAAAACTCTTCTCTGCGGAGAGCAAATAAAAGACACTCCTTTGGGGCGAACAAACAAAAAACACCCCTCTGGGGCGAGTAAAAAAAAATCCCCTCCAAGATGAGCAAGCAAACAATAGACGCCCCTTCATCGCGAGTAAAGTAAAAGCCCCTTCCAGAGCGAGCAAAAAGAAAAGACTCTCCTCTAAGGGTGAGCATACGAAAAATTCTGGGATGAGCGAACAACTGACGATTTAGTCTAGCAAAAGGGATTGGCGAAGATTAAGACTCGAGTTGAATGATATCACAACCAGCCATTTTTCCAAGAGTTGGGTCAAACTAAGTCCCCAGAAAAGAACTTTCAATACTTGCCAATATTTTTCAGGACTTTTTTCTAAGTCCTGTCTTCTTTCTTTTATAGTTTTCCAAGAGGTACCTTTGGATCTCTTCAAAATGTGTCTTGATTCGATGTATTTGCCCAAGATATGCATCCTTTCATGATAATTTTGGTCCATGGTGGTTACAATCACTTATTAAGCCAATGGATGCCTTAAAAACCTCTTTGAAATTCGTGAAAATTGATTTTACTCGTCTAATAACTATCACTGGCGGTTAAGCAGCTGGCGGTTAAGCACGGGGTCTCGGCGCTTAGGCTTGGCCTTCTCTGTTTAACAGGCACTTAAGCGTCGGATCTGGAGCTTAGGTACCAAAAATCTTTTGCACAATTTTTCACATTTTTGCTCCAAATTTGATTTTTTTTTCACTCCTTTAAGCATTTTTTTCATTTTTACTTGTATCTGCAAGAAAAACACAAAAATACCTTCCATTAAAGTGCAATATCTCAAAAATAAGTATAAAAATGTGTCTAAAAATACTATATATTTTAGGTGTATTATAGATACAAATGTTCTCAGTTTGCTAATTATTATTGGCAATGTCAAACTTTAATAATAGATGGTTAAGCTAAAGCGTGAAGTGATTTAATTGTGCAGTTTCTTAGGCAAGTTGAAGAAAAGGTAGCTGAGTTGAGTGACAAATGTCTCATGTTTCAAATGCGTGCAAAATGCAATCACTCAGTCTGGCATAAAGTGAGTGGTAAGTTCTTACTGAAGCGACTCATTTGAACTGGCAGAATTCCTATGTAGATCACACCAGATACATGTTTTGAATTTTCTTTTATTTTATTTGTGTATATCTTTAGTATGTGTATGTATGTTTTAGTTCTATTACAAATACGGTGGTTCATTTGTATCAAAGAGTTGTAATAATGAAAAGAATTTCTCGAATGATGATTTGTTAGCCACCTTGATTTGAATGATGATTTAATAACTTTAATTATCTTCTATGCTTTTCACTCTATTTTCAAAATCAATGAGTTTATTTTTTCAGTTTCTCCCATATCATATTTACTTTTCTATCGATATAAGATTGTTCAAGGTAGCCTTGGAACCCATTTATCACGTGGGAATGATATTTTTACTTCATCTTCCTTTTGTTTTCTATTCTTCTCAGACAATGGTGGGGTTGTTATACTTTACACAAGTTCCAAGGCATTGTGGAGGCAGAGTTGTCGGCAAGTATGCTAGAAAGCTTTCTTTAATAAAATACAAGGTGAAAAAAAAATAAATAGAGATATTCTGAGCTTGGAAAAAAAATAGTTTGTCGACTTTGATGGATCTCTTCAATGATTGAAATGAGAAGTCGGATGAGGCACTCTCACTCTCATTCAATCTTGGTTGAGGTATTAGTTCATCTTCTCTAAAAGATATTATACATGGAATGGATAAGGATAAACTTTCATTCACCATTTTGCATTTGTAAGTCTTAGCATGACCTTTTCTTATTAATTGGTAAGGTCCCTTAGGAGGTCATCAAGAGATCTTAATAATGAGAAGAATAAAATAAATAATATAAGAAAATAGCTTGTTGAGGTGAAGAATAATGTTGACGTTAACAAGACCCTTATAGAAGAGAAAAAAGGGGCTTTAGACAAATGTTATGAAGAATTGATTAGGCAGATGTCAAACACCACTGCAATTATTAATTTAGCCAAGGCTTTTAATTAGTGACCGGATTGTTCGGTGGAGTGCTCAAGATTGAAGACCACATGTTTTGAACTCAAGCCTTAGTTGCATGAGCTCACAAGAATATGGGAATTTTGTAGACCCTAATGAGTTTATGAAGTTGCTATCTATGACCGTCACCCAAAAAAATATGTTACAAATGAAATTTGTTGACCGAATAAAACATTGCCAGGAAAACCTTATCAGTAAGCAAGTTATCTCTTTTGAATGGTCAAGCATAGACAAGTTTAGAAAAATATTAGAAGACATCAGTTCTAAGAAAGAAAGTGAGTATAAGAACAACAGTGAGGTGAGTTCAACCAATATTTAATTTTTATAATGTTGTGAAGCCCTATATAATTTTTGAATTTGTATTATTCTGAAATTGAATGCTATTTTCCTTTCGCACAATATCTTACTTAATCAAAGCTTGCAGAAATATTGTAAGGCAAATTCATTGAATTTAGTTTGTAATATTTTTATGTAAAAAAATAATAATTTAAAATTTTTCAACATACTTTCATAATATGTTTGATCACTATGAAAAAGTCCATAAGGTGGGTCGAGAACCTGTAAGGCTAATGGATATTAGCAAAATTTCTTAACTTATTGGATCTAACTCATCTCAGTAGTAGGCTACATGTATTCATAATGGGGTGTTATTAATATAAGAAAAGTTATGCATTGTATCTCTAAATAGAATCCAATGTGTTTTATGAAGCCTTTCTCATTAGTTACCCTCATTTAAGTCTTACACTACCCATTTTCTTAAATTATTTTAGTTAAGCCGTCACAATTAATAAATCATGCCTCACGCCAGACTTTGTGTGGATTTTGTTATAGTCTTCACAAAGGTATCCATTTAAGCTTGTCATAAAAGAGACTCATGTGTTACTCATTATGAATCTTATCTTGAAAAGTGGGTCTTATTTCATGGTTTGACCTATATTCCACGAATTCTGGGTTAATGGGATATACAATGTTTGAATGTTAACGGTGTCGGCACTATTTTTGAAGTGGACACCGAATGCATGACGTGGTGATTCACCATCTACCCAATAGCCTAGTTTCGTTCTACCAACAGAAGCTCTTCTTCCAGAGATCAACGATCGACAGTCATACTAAAACAACTGATTGATGAAGCCAAGACAATAGAGTCATTCTAGCCGACCAGCTGACTATCAAAGGCTGGCAGGCGATTCAGCACGGTCGAACAAGCAAGTCTTTCAAAACCAAAGCTCGTTGATTAAGCACACATATGCAAAATATATAAAATATTAAGTAATGCCCCGTTAAAACAAGTGCAAACATATAACTTCTCATATTGTACCTCTCCTTGTAAACAGTGAATCATTTTATGAAAAGAGGCTAATCAATAATATTATTGATTGTTCATTATTATGCACTTCGCTCTCCATCTCTCTTTCTCTCTCTTATATCTTACACTTATTCCAAGGGTGTGATTCACAGACATATTCGGATGACCAGTTTGAAATTTCTTGCATTATTTGTTGAGGAAATTGAGTCACATTTAAAGTTTTTGAAGGGGATTAATAGATTTGTTATCGTAAACTTCTTTATATTTATTGCTAGCTTCTAAGTACTTAAAATAAGTAATAAATTTTATACATTTTTAGTGACACAAAAATTGTTTAGGAATTAAGTTAATAGTTTTAGATGTGTCCTTCAAGATTTTAGTATTGTTACTATATATAAAAGTATGTGTTTATGACTTCCATAAATATGTAAAAATTTTAGATGTTGTAAACGTCAAGGAAGATTACATACGTACCGCTAAAATGGCATGATTTACAATATATATATATATATATATATATATATATAGTTGCTTCTGTTGCAGATAATATTAGGACAGTCGTCTTAGATAGTTTAGTCACATTAAACGCCGATCATATGATGATCCAGTTAGGAGAGTAGATGTTCTAGACTCGACTTATGTAAAGCTAGAAAGACTTGGGCTTATTATAAAAATAATAATCTAAATTTATTATAATTAAATAAAAATATGACACTTAGAATGATTTATGTAGCAGACCCCATTCAGTGAGATAAAGGCTTCTTATTATTGTTGAGAAAGTAACATAATTCATGCTTTTCCCTCATTTGCATTGTCAAAAAACAAATAATTAACTAAAAATAAAAATTAAAAAAATAAAAACTTATTATCGTCACTTCCTTATTGAAGATAAAAGAAACAATTTGGATAGACGTATAGATATGAATTTGGTTCGAACTAAGGTTTTGTTTGAGAAGACACAGATTCAATTCGGTTGCAATGAGTGTCGACGCCTGAAAAAATTTTCATTTGATGAAACAGTATGAGACGAACGTCGCCCAAAGTTCTTTCAAAATAAAGTCCAATTTTTGACGTTTCAAATCTCATCTGACCTCCTCCGGCTCGACGAATGCGGCTTTTAAAAAAGAAATTTGAAATAGGATTTGAGAACAGCCTACAAATGGTTGGTATGTAGATTTCCCCTCCAAATAAAGTTTGAGTACAAGAGGAGCGGCTTTTATTGATATATCTTGAAAGAGTCCTGATGAAGGTTTTGTCAAATTTGAACTAAGCTTTCTTCATTATTAAATAATAATTCATTATTTTGATAAAAAATTATGAATAAAAAGATTTTATAAAAGAAAGCACAAGAAAGAAATGAATAATGCAACTCCCTCCATAAAGATTGCTCTCTTGAAAAGTCACTCATAATAACTTAATTAAAATTGCTCTACAATCACCAGGCCACCAATCCTGGCAATGCTCTCCAATTAAAGTGGGGACTCCCAAAAAAAGAAAAAAAAAACATTTACATAAATGCCACACTATCCATATGTATTTACATAACATCTAAATTTTAATATTTACATTTATACCACTTTTCACATGCATAAAAAGAAGTGATCACATTTTAAAAGCAGGTGGCAGTGACATTTCTGATGTGATATGATACAATCAAGTATTATAAATATAAAAATCAAAATTTTAAATTTAGCATATAGATACATATGCATTGTGTGGCAAGCATGTAAATGTCCCCAAAACAAGAAATAAATAAATAAAAGCAAAATCACAAAACTGTGAAGCTATTGCAAATCTTACATGACAATTCTGCCCTCTTGCTCTCAGGCAAAAGCAACTCATCCACAGCCTTTCTTTTGATGCCATGCAAAACGCTGCTACTAAGATGATCCTCATTATTGTTGTCTTTTCTCTGTTGTCCCTCATATTTTCCCTTCAGTATATGAGGTCTGAGCTTATTCATATCTGATAATTTTACTGGTTTGAGTAGGAATTCTTCAGCTCCATCTTCCAAGCACCTGTCATCATCACCCAAATTTTAAAATAAACAATTACAACAATAAAAAAAATGATTTTGGAATCTAATGATTATTTAACTTTCTTTCATGTTATAAAATCAGAATAAAATCTAAAGGGAATAAGAAAAAAGATTTTGTGATGTTTCACTGATATGGCATATTAAAGAACATGACTTTTCCTTTATTCCTATTCTCAACAAGTCTGATCAGAGCTCAAAACCAAACAAAATATTGTGGCCACAAAAGGAAAAAGTACTTTATAACTTGATAAAAAAATTAGTACTTTATTTTTTTAAAAAGACATTAGGAAGATTTTCATATATATATATATATATATATACCACAATTACTATTTATTTAACTATCTAACATCTAAATCTTAATTTAGGGTCTGTTCAGGGCGGCTGTAGATTATTTATAATATGTTTATTTGCAGATTATCCTAACAATCTGATAATCTCCAGATTATTCTGATAAGTTGGTTAGTTGTTTGTGAGAGCTTATTTAGAACAACTTATTTACAGCTGTTAAACAAACGTGTAGACGGCATTTTCAAAAGTCAGCTGCACTGAATAAGCGCCCCCAAACAAGCACTTATACATGTTTACCACTTTTCCTATGCATCAAAAGGTATATTTCACGTTTTAAAGGCTAAGATAGTAGTATTCTTACATGAAATGGAAGATTTGGATGGCATAAATGCTAAAAGTAAAATTTAGGTGTTAGATATGTAAACACATAGCAATTGGGTGGTATGCAAGTAAGTGCCCCCAGAAATTAATATGCATCTCTTAGAACAGCAGGGCTTTTATATAAAAACCACTGAATTCTTATATATTTACATATCTTATACCAAAACTTTCATCTTTCATAACACCAAATCATTAACGTTACATAAGAAAATGTTCTTTTTATAAATTACTTATGCAATTCAGCAAAATTTAATTGTACGTCTTCAACTAAAATGATGAAGGTTAAACTACCAGATACCCTATAATTCAAAATTTTCAGGGTGAATTCATTCAAGCAAAAAAATAAAAATTAAAAATTAATTCTTTACCTGTTAATCCTGGCAGGCACATTCTCAGATGACATTATGACAACTGGTATGTTCTTCAAAGCTGATGATTCCTGAGCCATTCAACTCCACAAAAATTAAAAACCAAATATAAATCAAAGCAACCCATACTATTGCTGACATGGATTGGAGTATAGATGGGCTCTTTGTCATCCAAGCTGGATTTAAGCATGATTTTGAGTTAATATTGTCAAAAAAGAATTTTGCAAATTTTAGAGGGTTCTGTGATTATAAGTAGGATTTAACACAAGAAAGATCAAGTAAATATTGTAAATATAGATTTAGTAAACCATGAAAGGCTTAAAATAGATTTTTTAATTATTAAAAATAATTAAAAATAACCTAAAAATCAAGTTTTTATTTTAAATATATTGTTATTTTTATTAAATCCCCTTGATATCAGAGAACTCAAAAAACCAAGTTTGTTAATTTTTAGAATTATATTTTGATTTTTAAAAATTATTTAAGTTTCAAATGTGATGGTCACTTTTCAAAATCAATTAAAAATATTAAATGATCTCAAAATGACTTGAAATTTTTATGGTGAATTATCTGACTCATGATCCACAGTGGAAAATAAAAATCAAGTGATTTTTATTTCTATGTGCTTCAAATTAAATGTTTTAAGAAAATTAGAGTTTGCTCAAAACAGTGATGTTTTAATTTTTAACAATTATGAAATTATTTCCTAAGACTATCTGGCCATATGAAACTTACATGAATTTTTGTAGAATTTTCTAAGCCACACACAATTTTCTATAATTATTTGAATAGAAAATGCATAAAAACTTAGAAAATTAAGATCTCTGTCTAGAGATCTCCTATGTCTTTGGAAAAATACTCAAATTGTGCACCTAGACAGAGGCTACAACATATAAAAATTTGGGGTCAAGGTAATAATTTAATATGAATGGAGAATTGCAAAACCCATAACCCTAATTCATTTTTTAAAAATAATTTATGCATCAAATCAATATGAAAATAATTTCACATGATTTTTCTGTTTTCACTGAGCAAGAGAGTATTTTTATTTTATTTTTATGAATTTTCTATGCAAAGATATGGATTTTTGAAGTTTAGGAGCTATTTTCTGAATTTATTAAATATCCTATTTATTTATTTAAACCGCGGGCTGACTGGATCCTCGGATCCGTCGAAAAGTTTTGCGGCGCGCTCCTATTCAACGCCACCTTCCGAGTCAGCTGCCACGCGTCCCGCTGTTTCGTTCCGGATGATCATCCGGCTTGATCTCCGTCATCCCTTCAATACACGCGAAGATGGATGACATCTGTTCATCGTCCCCGATGGCCTTAACCGAGAGCCGTCCATTTTA